TTTTATGCAGGGTCTCACTACACAGCTCAGACACATAGTGATCCTCCTGTTTTCAAGGCTCCCAGCACTGGGATTATAGGCATGTGCCACCAGGCCCCTACTTGTTTTTGGCTTAGCGTGCCAGGGGGCAGGGGCAGGCTGGTGTAACATGTGGAGCCAGGGATTGAACCCAATCCCTGAGCTTGCCTAAGCAGGCACTTAGTCCACTGATCTATCTTGCTGGCCCTAGTGATGTGTTTTAAAACATTAAATCATAAGGACAGTCACACATATGAACCAAGGAATATGTACAAAGACATTAATCATAGTCAGATATCTAAGAGGCAAAGGTTGGAAACATCTTAAATATTCATTATTATAAGTATCAAGAAACCATTAAACACTCAAAGCAGATCTAGGTGTGCTAATACGCCAGTTTAGAGACGATAGATACGGTTAACAGAAACAAAGCATGAATTAAAAGGAGGAAGTTCAATCCCTGGTTCCACAAAAAATAAATAAATAAATAAAATAAAAAATAAAAGGTGGAAGTAAATACACACAAATAGGTATATATTCATATACCTTAAATATTTGAATTGTTATGTATGCCTGAAATACTTTGAAAAGAAACACACACAAAATTTTAATAGTAAAAAAGAAAAAATGAACAGTAGTTGTGTTCGACATGAATGATCTAGGGACAAAAGGCAGTGTTAGCTTTGTGTGTTATTGAAATTTACACCAGGGGCATGGTTCAGAGTGAATGAATGAATCTCCTCTTCAGAAAATCCAGAACATTTACCAGGGTTTCCTGGGGCAACTTCTGGGCTGTTGGAAGGGGCGGCAGAGGCCACAGAATGGAGCCACAGAATGGGTCCGATCTGGAGCTGTTCTAGTCCCATTGGTCCAGGATGACAGCTCGCTTTAGTGAAAGAGAACCCACCTTGGGGATCTGGTTCAAAGGGCAAGTCCCCTCCTCAATCCTAGAGGCCAGATTTGATCCTCTTTTCTGGGGTACCTGAGTCTTCCAACACCCTCTTGGAGAAACAGGCCCTGATGCTGGTTTGCTTTTGTTCAGGCCTTGACTCAAAGACTGCAGCGGCCCGGATTTTCTCCCTCCTTCCTTCCTCCTCCTCATTCTTGTCGTTTGTGGGCACCAGTGCTCGCACTAGGGCTTGGTGCAAGCGAAGGTCGCACTTGACCCCTGAGCTACCGATCATTTGGATCTTCCGGCCCCACACCCACCTAGCCTCTGCCCTGGGTGTGAGATGACTGTGGATGAGGCGGGGCTGGCAAATGCCTGAACTACAGGGCTCGCTGACGAGCGTCCTGCTTGCCTTTCTGGTTCCCCAGCCGTCTCCTTTAAAATGAAAATGTACGCACACAAGCAAGCGAATTACTCTTTGGACTGTGCTTGACCCCCGCCCCTTTCTCCCCGAAACTACAAATCAGCGGGGCTGCCCGTCTGAAATAAGGACTGCTGCTCTCCATATCCGGGCGTCGCATTCTCACAGGTGGCCGCACCTACGCCGGGACCTCGTTCCGGGGAGGATCCGCGGGTGTCCCCCGTTCGGCGAGCGTCCCCCGGGCGCAGCGATACAGAGGTGGGAGGCTGGGGCCTGCTGAGGTCATTTCCTGTGCCCGTCCGCCAGCCGCCGGCGGAGTGGAGCGGGCGATCCGCCTGGGCGGCGCGGAGGCGCGCGGCGGAGGGGCCGGCCGCG